CCTGTCGATCCTAGTAACATTTTGTGTGCAAAGCAGTTGTCCCACAATGGAACTATAAGACCACTTTTACCCTTGTCTGCTTAGGCAGTAATAGGAAGCCAGTTGACTGGGGTGTGTATCTAGAAGAGTTAGTGCTTCAAATGTATGAACTGTCTACACTCCCCCCACAGTAGACAACTACCTGTTACCATTCCTTCTTACCACTCTTCATGCCCTTCTCAGGAATGCCCTAAATGCCACGTGACCATAGAAAAGGATGGAGGCTGCAACCACATGGTCTGTCGGAATCAGAATTGCAAAGCAGAGTTTTGTTGGGTGTGTCTCGGCCCTTGGGAGCCACATGGGTCTGCCTGGTATGTTTAAAAGTATGCTTGTTGAGTTTTCTTTATGAGTCTTCCTGCTACAGCTATGTTTTGTTTCTGTGATGTATAGAAATACTTTTGTAGAGCAGAAAGACTGAAAGGAATAAGTATTGTATATGCATGGAAGAGGTCTGGCCTTTGCAGACTGCCAGAAATAGTGCAAATTGAGTCCACTTTAACTGCCCTGACTCAGTGCTAGGGAATCATGGGAACTGTAGTTTATTGTGGCACCAGAGCTCTCTGACAGAGAAGGCTCAGTGTCTCAGAAAAAAATACAATTCCCATGATTCCCTAGCACTGAGCCAGGGCAGTTAAAGTGGACTCAATTTGCACTATTTCTAGCAGTCTGCAAAGGCCCTTCATCCCTCTGTGTTTTTTATTTTTTAGGGGCAGAAGAGCTGTTCTGTTCTACAGTAACCTGTGATCTGATCAGATCTATGCCTTGGAGGCTGTCAGAAGTATTAGAGATAATTATTTTTATGTTTCCAGTTACACCTCTGAATGAATGATGTTTCAGAGGGACAAAAATAAGATATGGTAACTAGCAATCTACATGTTGATGAAATTATCTTTTCAGGTACAACTGTAACCGCTACAATGAGGATGATGCAAAGGCAGCAAGAGATGCCCAAGAGGTGAGTCCATAACTCTTGCTGACCAAGGTAATGTGCTTCCTTAAGAGACTTCAGCCTGTCTCTTTTTTGTCATTCTTTGAGCTAGTGAACTTTGAGAACTATTGTCTTCCAGACCAAATTCCACAAAATTGTTTGGCTCTAGAGACAAGAGTAGGCTTCTTTGCTTCCTCCTGTTGAAATTCTGGGCAACTTGTAAAACTGTAGAACTTGAGCATAAGCATTAGTCTGAATTTTCCTTTGAGCAGTGTCAAATCATCCAAGGCCTTTTTTTAATTGCTGCGTATCTCAAAAAGGAGTTATCCATGTTTGTTTATTTATTTAGAATATTTATACCCCACTCTTCAGACACAAAGACTCTCATAGTGGCTTACAGATTGTTAATTTGACAGTTTCCTACCCTCAGGTTTATAGTCTAAATAAGACAGGACACACAAGGAAAAGGGAATGGCAGTGGGAGAGGGGAGTAAGTCCAAATACTGTTGGTACTACTGGCAATTGGAATGGAAGGAGTGCCTTTAATCTGCTTCTGGGTATGTGGATATCAACTCCATGTGGACAGTTTCCTTTAACCATATTGTGTTTGGCCACTGTTGCCATACTGTTTTACATTTATATTTGATTGGAGTTTATATGGTTTACTATACAAAGGTGACAAGTGTGGAATTGCAGCAAATTGTTACAGAGTATCATAAGGTCCTCACAGCACCATTGCAACAGGAAATTCTCAGCACTGTTTTGGAGCTTGCAAAGGACACCTACTTGCTATCCTTGGCTCTTTGAAACATTGACTCCTTTTTTAAGTTAAAAAAAATCTGTTATTACATCTCTATCTGGACTTTGAGCCAGCATGGTGATGTGGTTTGAGTATTGGACTGACTCTGGAAGACCAAGGTTCAAATCCCTCCTCAGCCAAGTAAGCCTACTGGAAAGCCTTGAGCAAATCACACACTGTTGGCCTCAGAGGAAGGTGAAGACAAATGCCTCTGAACAAATTCTAAGAGAACATGACATGACTCAGGAATGACTTGAATGCACACAACAACAATCTAGCCTTTCCTCTAAGAAACTCAAAATAGATAATTAAAGGCTCTTCCTCCACACTTTATTTTCACAGAAATACTAAAGTAGGTTGAAAAGCAGACAAGCAAGCCTAAGGTCACCCAGTGAGTTTCATGGCTGAGTAGGGCTTGAACTTGGCTTATCCCTAAGTCCCAGTCCAGCACTTCAAACCACACTTCGATTTTTTATAATTCTAAAGGGGTTGGGCTCAGAGCAGACAAAATAACTTTCCATTCCTCTGTGCAGGAATATTTTGAGATGAGCATCTGCCTCAGATATCTCTCTGATAATGCAAGCTGTCTGTTATTACTCTGTTTTAACTATTGATTTTTCTTTTTCCCTAATGGGAATTAACACAGCGATCCAGAGCAGCCCTGCAGAGGTACCTCTTCTACTGCAACCGTTACATGAATCATATGCAGAGCCTGCGCTTTGAGCACAAACTCTATGCCCAAGTCAAGCAGAAAATGGAGGAGATGCAGCAGCACAACATGTCATGGATCGAGGTCCAGTTCCTGAAGAAAGCAGTCGATGTCCTCTGCCAGTGTCGTGCCACACTCATGTACACATACGTCTTTGCCTTCTACCTCAAAAAGAATAATCAGTCCATTATCTTTGAGGTAAGGAGAGGTTGCCAGGCTCCTTGAAAAGCAGTGCATGTGTCTCTTTCCACCCATTTGAGGCCTCCTGTTGAATGAATGGCAGTGGGTGGACTCCATTGGGTGAAGGGGCCATAGGTAAATATTTTAAACCAAAGATGAACAACTTCTTTCAGCTTGATGACAAAATTCACTTTCAGAGAAGTTCTTCAGGGTTTGTTTCCAGCGGTGGGGAGAGCCAGAGGCAAAAGATGTGGAATGTCAGAATCATTCTGTTCAGGGTGGGCATGGGCAAAGAGGGTGGAAACCTTCCCCTGAACCCATCCATAGACTACATTGGCATAACTTAGTAGCCTTTTTTTCCCCCTTGGTTTTGGTCTTAGTAAGAGCAAAATGCTACATTTCTTGTGATTTGGAGGCATTTTCAGCTTTAAAAGAATAAGCCCTCTTTCTTGGGAAAGGGTTGTTGTGGGGCATCATGGAGTAAAAAAAGGGTTTTTAGGTCCCTACCCCAGGTTTAGCATAAAGCTCTTACTACCAGTAAAGTAAGCCTTAGAGTTAATTAATCCTTTTTGAATTGGGAGGGGAAACCATATAAAATCTGGGGGAACTACCAAACCCTGATGTCATTGGAAAGGGAAGGACTGTGACCATCTGGGGAAGATTGAACTAAGCCCCCAGGTTCTACAGTTCCTCCAAAACAAAACAAAACACCATTTGTGTGCACTTCATGGGTACCAACTTAATGTTTCCAGGAACTTTGTTTTTAAAGCCTCTTTTGCAGTAACTTCAGAACTGTGCTGTGCTTTCTATGCCAGATCACTCATATATGTTCTTTTCCAACTGAGCACCACTTCTTGTATTTAATATTTAATGTACTTTATTACTACCATTTCTTATCTACAGCCTTTCTATTGCTTGGCTTGTACTTATTATGACCACATGTCCTATACTCTGGTTTTCTCTTCAGAACATGTAAATCTTTTGCCTTTTACTGAAGATCTTTGCCTGTCTCATTAATAACCTCCCAGTGCTATACTGTGCTTACTACATCTTTAAGAAGCAGACATATTACTTCCTTGCTTTATTCCCAACAAACATGCATGAAGACAGCAGGCGCCCCCTGGAGGCATGATATGAAACATACCCAGCACTTGAATTACAGTTTGAAACACAGACAAAAATCCATCAGTGATCCCTTTATTGGCCAACCAAAGTGCACAATATACTTGTTGCAAGCTTTCAGAGCTCCATAGGCTTCTTCATCAAGCAAGATGTTACAAACCAAACAGGAGAAAAACAATTGGAGATGTTAGTCAAATGCCTACATGTTTGAAACACTAGTATACCTCAGTTAACAAAGTAGCTGTGTTCCTGAGCATTACTTCTGTAACAGAAATAACGTAAAAAGTATAGAAATAGGTTTCTACACTACAAAATAGAAAAGTTCAGCATGTTTCAGCATATGTTTTGTTCAAGGCCAAAAATGTACGTATGTGAAATGAATCAAGCTTTACTATAAGTGAATAAAAAGAATTTGAACCTATTAAAGATGCATGCAAAATACATCCAGGGGATAATTATTCTTTAACCAGTCTTCCATTTCATGATCAAACTTGTACATGTATGCTTCTTTAATATGCTGATAAAGGGAGATACTTTCCCTGTTTTTCTTGTGTGTTGCTTTTCATGCATGCACAACAAGGGATTCTGTAGGCAGACACATATAGCTACAGCCAGATCAGCTTGTCTAAAATCCCATTCTTTCCCAACTTAAGCTTTATTGCATTGTTTAATGCAGACACGCTGCTGCAACCTGGTTCCCCAGATCCATCTTTCTCCAGTTCTCCTTCACCATCCTCCCAGTGTTGATGCCACTAAAATAAACTTAAATAAGCTAGACAGAGGACAAGAAGGAAAAGTGGGGTCTGGGCAGACATACACAGACTGTAAAAAGGAGCTTCTTTGTCAGAGACGTTGTTAATAGAAATATTCTTGTAATGTTATACATTTGGGAGATAGCGATGTCAGAACCTCAGTCTTTTGAAATCTTTTTTGCTTTTTTTTTTTTCTGGAACCTCATGGCCAACCAGATAGAGCCAGGTGCAAAATAATATCTTCAAAGGCTCACATATGATAAATATTAAGAATTCTGATGCCTTCTAAGCACATATTCAAACTAAAGTCTTGTTTTCAGTTTGTTTTTGTTATTGTATGCCTTCACATAGTTCTGACTTGCCGTGACCCTATCACAGGATTTACAAGTTTCTTCAGAGGGGGGTTGCCATTGCTATCCTTTGGGGCTGAGAGAGTGTGACTTGCCCAGGGTCACCCAGTGGATTTCATGGCAGAGCAGGGATTCGACCCCTGTTCTCCAGAATTATAGTCCAATGCTCAGACCATTACACCACACTGGTTCTATTGTTTTCAGTACCAGAACATAATACACAGCCCCCCCCCTCCATCTCTCTCTCACACATGGACACATCCTAATTTTTGGTATGCTGGATGTTTGTGCAGCCCAGTTCAAGAGAAGGAAGGCAATTACGTTGTTTTTCCTAGACAACTGAGGGTCACACATTTGCAGATCTACTAGTAAACCATGAAGAGGTCTTATCAACAGATGCCAATCACCTTTCTGGCTATTCCTGCTCTAAGGCACTATAGAAGAAATTGGGGGGGGGGGGTGTGAGAATGAGAGTAAGCCTATTCAAACTGTTACATAACAAAGTTATATAATGACCAGGTAGAATGAATTCTGGGAAGAGAGAACTCTGAAGGACAGCTGGTCCCAGTTTAATGTATGTTTGTGTTCATTTCTGTGAGTTAAGTGCTTTTTTTCCTGTCTTCCATTTTATATGCTTGAAAACTCTCCCTTGAAGAGTTTTGTGTTCAGTGATGTGGATTTTCTTGGGCGAGGGGGAAGTGTTCTACTTTTGGGAATGCTTTAAGTAATGTTATCTGATTTAACATGTTTAGTATAAATGTTGCATTCAAACACATTTTGTGGAAATTGTTTTATTGGAATATTTGTAATGTAAAAAGAATAGCATATACCTCTATTTAACAAAAAATGACTCCAGCTAAAAGAACACTATATGTTTTGGACACTCAAAGAGAGCTTCATCTGATATATCAGCAGCATGGCTTCTGAATTATAACTGTAGGACCTTCAGCTTTACTCACTCATTTTCTGCTGTACTGATCCACTCCATTTCAAGTTGAAAAAAAATCTGATTCAGTACAGCTAGTAGAATATGCCTATTTCACTAAATGATGAGTGTGAGTCTGCGTAGGGGCAACTTATTACATTTTTTCTTGACTACTTGTCCTTGTCAGTGATTCAACAGAAAGAGATTTTTTTTTTGAAATAGAAGCTTAGCAGTGTGTTCAGTCTATTCTTTGAGTCCTAGGGTTTGTTAAAAAATTATTTTCAGAAGAATAACTACAAGTTTATATCCTGTATTTATCCCATCTAACCTCATTGATCGCTGTTCAACAGCCCAGGCAACTATGGATAAATAAATTTTCCACAGAACAGCGTTGGAAAATTTTCCACTCCATGCCTCTAGTTGTATTAGAAAACAGTTCTGTCAAGATGGGTTGACAACTTCCTTCTGGATTATATTAGTTAATATTATTATTTAGAAGCCAGAAGCTGTTAAATTCGGCAGGAGTGTGAGGTGCTAGAATTTATATAGGAGATGGCTTGTTTTAGATCAGGGTTAGCAGCCTGATGCGTTCCAGATGTTTTAGGCTACAGCCAACATGATTAGTGATCAGAGTATATGGAAAATATATTGGGGGTAGCTGTGTTGGCCATGTAGCAAAGTATAGTAACATCCAAAATCCGCAAAACAGTGATACCTTTATTGGCCAAACAAAATTGTGCAGGCCGGCCCCCTCCTTTCCTGGCCATGTGGATACTCCAGGAAAAAACATTTAAATTCCATTAGCAAAACAAAAAGAGATGTTTCTCTTGAGATCCAAGTTGCCTGGTTCTTTTTGACACTCCAAGCTCCTTTGTTAAGTAGAGGGCACTGAATTTATAAGGAAGCCCTCCATGTTTTTGCATTGAGAAACATTTGTTCGATGCTGTTTTGCTAAAACATGCCTAGTGTAGTCCAAATTTTTTTAAAAAAAATGTTTTACCTTTGTTGGAGGTAGAAACCTGAAATGATCACGTACGTCCCAGTTCATTGGCTCTCTCTTTAGAATTCCCCTGATGGGGATAAAATGTGGTATCTTACAAAAGACAGGCAACTTGGATCACAAGAGAAGTCATAAATTTTTCCTCCTTTCTCCTGTGTGATTTTTAACATCTCTGCTTGATGAGTATATGGAAGTAATGATCCTTAGTAGCTGGAGGGACTCAAGTCACGAGTTCAAATAACCCCTGCTGAGAAGAAAGAGGTACAAATGGGGCATGTCATTAAGGCCTTTGCTTTCTTGCTCTGGCTGTCAGCCACTTTGAAGGATCTGAGTGTTGCCTGGAAAGGCAGAGAGAGACATTTCAGAGGTGGGTCATCTGCTTTGAATTTCTCCTTTCCAATGTTGTGCTCATTGCTTTCCTACTGATGCCGTGCCAGTCAACAATGTTGGCCTTTGTAGGCTTTTAAGAGCTCTCTGTAACCATTCTCTGACACTCCCAAGGGAATTTAGGCTGGTTTCCTCCCTTTTGAGCTTCCAGTGAGCAGCAGAGACTTAAAACCAGGGTGGGTGCTTTCACTGTTTTAATTGTGTGCAATTTTTAAATTGTTTTAAGTAAGTTGTTTTAGTTTTTTAAAAGTTTCTATCTGTTGTAAATTGCTTTGGGAGCCCAGGCAGGCTGAGAGGTGATATAAATAAATGCTACAAATAAATAAAAACAGCTAATTATAGCATTTTAATCTTCACACAGTTTAATCTTTGAACAGTTTTGAATGTGACTGGCTTTCTGAATGGACATTTCCTATTTTAGTTTGTGTTACCTTTGCATTCCTGCCTTGATTATAGTTTTGTATGTTTATATAGCCAGCATGGTGTAGTGGTTTGAATGTTGGACTAGGGCTCTGGAGACCAGGGTTTGATGCCCGGCTCAGCCATGAAATGTACTAGGTAACTGTGGGAATGTCTATCTCTCTCAGCCTCAGAGGAAGGCAGTGGCAAAAACCCCTCTGAACAAAACTTGCCAAGAAAACCCTTAGGGTCACCATAAGTCAGAAATGACTTGTGGGTACACAACAACAACATGTTTATATTATATGTAAGTTTTGCATTCTATTGCTTTATTGGTATCCCAGAAAAGTCAATTTATTATGTTGGAACTTGTGAGGGTTGTAAGTTACATAAATAAACTTCCACTGAAACTTGCGCTATTGTGAAATGAATCGTGTGCCTTCAAGTTGTTTCTGATTTATGGCGACCCTAAGGCAAGCCCATCCTGGAGTTTTCTTGACAAGATTTGTCCGGGGGGGGGGGGGGGGGTTGCCTTTGCATCTCTCTGAGGCTGAGAGAGTGTGACTTGTCTAAGGTCACCCAGTGAGTTTCATGGCTGAGCCAGGCACTGAACCCTGCTCTCCAGAGTCATAGTCATAGTCCAACACTCAAACCACTCCGCCACACTGGCTTGTCTTGGTTTTGCTTTTCTTTTGTTTAGAAAAGACCATAATAATAATAATAATAATAATAATAATAATAATAATAATAATAATAATAATAATAACAACAACAACAACAACAACAACAACAACAACAACAACAACATTTATTTATATCCCGCCCCTCTGTACCATATCATGTACAAAACTATTCCTATGGTCCTTTGTTCTTCTGCCCCATCAGTTTCCCCTCTGTTTAATTTTATAGTTGACTACATGCATAGGCAGGTGAAGAATGTTTTATTTCAGCAGGCCCTTGATGGCTGATTGCTTAGAGGGAAAAGGCCTTTCAGAATGTGTTGTACTGTTTATTTGTTTTCTTTTTAATGGCCTAGCTTTTAACATATTTATTTCTATTCTTAGTTTAATTATATTTTCAATTTTTATGCGGTGTTAATTTTAAAGCTGTATATTTGTAAACCATTTTGCATCTCAGGCAGGGGCAGGATAACAACAATAACAACAGTGATGATGTTCCAAGGAGTCTTCTGTGCAAGCTATCTAGTGTAGAACTCTGGAGAGAAGCTGTCATGAAACATGTTTCAGTTTTTCTTCTTGTTTCTAGCTTTAGCATTATTCCCACAATTTTCCTTGATTTAAAGAGCTGCCTAGGTTTACAAAAGGTGTTTCTGTCCTTTTTTTTTTTTTTTTCCTTCTAGAATAATCAAGCAGATTTGGAAAATGCTACCGAGGTCCTTTCTGGGTATCTGGAACGAGATATATCCCAAGATTCACTGCAAGACATAAAGCAGAAAGTGCAAGATAAGTACAGGTACACCCCGCTTTCAGAACTGATCATCTGAAATGAATTAAGCTATATTGTGGGCTAGCTCATAGGAAATGGCTGTGGGTGAGAAGGGAGGCAGAGCCACTGCTGCTGCCACTTCTTCTAAGAGTAATCAGTAGGGGAGGATGGCTTTCTGGCTAGCTTGCTCTTGGCCTCTGGCCAGATTTCCTGATCAGCTGCCATTATTGGATCAAGGAGCTGGGGTCAGGAGCAAGTCTTAGGATTAACCTGGGCAGTTAAGACAGGCTTTGTTCATGGTGGTTCCTGGATTTGAACTGTTACACTCTAGTGTGCACCTCAGGGGACAACCTTAGCTAGTGGAACAAAACACTGATTAATTGAGCAAGAGGAGGAAACTGAGCTCAGGTTGGTGTATCATGTTCTGTCCTTGATATCAGAAGTCCCAAAAGTTGGCTTTGTGGTTGTTAGGCATGATTTGAGTGAATTTCCTTGGGGTTTAATATGCAGGCAGAATTAATGGGTGAAATGCAGCATTTTCAGATAGGAGCTTGGTTGGTTTGCATTGCTTGGGGGTGAGGACACTGTTTAACACAGCTTGGAATAGCTGGGTTTGGACTACAGCTCCCACAATCCCCTTATTCACCCAACTGTGAAATTGGCCTAATGGGGAGCCCTGCACCTACCTCCATGTATCCATATTGAACTTGGCAAAGGTAGATATCAAGCATTGTTGACTTTTCCTTTGTCTCCACCCAATAGCATTCTCCCATTGCCTTGGAGTCTGTTGTGCATGAAATGGCCTTTTCTTGAGCTTTTAACAGTTCTTGTATATCCTTCACCTTTTGCAGATACTGCGAGAGTCGGCGGAGGGTTTTGTTGCAGCACGTGCATGAAGGCTATGAGAAGGACCTGTGGGAGTATATTGAGGACTGAAACTGGCCTGCATAAAACGAACTCTGAAAACCTTTTACCATCTAGAGTGCTCATGCAATTAAAGCAAAACACACACAAAAAAAGGGGCACTACGCCT